TGTTCCGCACCTCACCTTCAGGCGGTCTTGAGGCCCTTGCTGGTCTCATCCCTGTCCATCTCATGCTGAAGAAATTGGCTATGCGCGCAGTGTACCACGTAGCCACCCTCTCAGACACTCACCCTCTTTGCTCCATGTTGGGTGAGGGACTCCTCAAACGGGCTGAACCTCATGCCCGCTCAGCCACTTTGATGACCCCAGCTATGAGGGGGAAAGTCAAGAGCACTGTCATGGAGGTGGATGAGCGTGTCCACACCTTAACTGAGAGCTTTGAGCCTTTTGCGCCTGAAGCTCGCCCAGGCGATCGGTTACTGGACCGCTATGCAGACCGTCTCCATTTTGACGAGCGTGATCCTGGTCAGGACAGACGCCCATATCTAGACGAGCTCATCGCGAAAGCGAGGGCCAACCCCTTAACAGTACTGGCTGCAACTGATGGCTCTGTCCCTCAGTCCAACCAGTATCAGGCGGCTTCAGCTGCCATCATCTACAAGGGACACTGCGAGCTCGAAAGGACTCGCTATGTCTCTGGCAGGGTTACCGCTCCAGATGCGGAACTCAATGCCATCTCGTGCGCAGTGTGCCTTGCTGTTAAGCAGGCAAACTGCCAACACATAATGGTCTTTACTGACTCTATGGGTTTGGCCCATAGAGCGGTTGACCCCGGCATGCACTCTGGTCAGGCTTTTAGCGTGTCAGTCTGTCGCGCTCTCCAAGAGTGGTTCGAGGCAGATGATCTCCGCCGCATTACCTTCGTTTACGTCCCATCTGCTTTGCGGTGGGACATCCATGGTGAGGCACACAAGTACGTCACCGAACTTAAAGTCAGGGTTGGACGTCGCAAGACAGATAACTCTATAGATGCGCTTCGCTCCCGAGCAGCGCACTCAGTCCTGGATTCGTGGAACTCCACTTTCCAGGATCCAACCTACCGAGGCTCTGAATTCTTAGAGCTTCAACAGCCTGACGGGCGGCCGCTACAGCCATCGTACCTCAATGGGGGACCTTGGCTTTCAACCTTCAGACACAGTATCACTGAGTTCGCTTGCGTTTGCCAGTGTATAACTGGCCATGCGCCCATTGGAGCGTACTACCGTCGCTTCAAGATCAATGAGCCTCACGGCTGCACTTGCGGGGCTGCTTTGCAGTCCCATCAGCATATTCTCTTTCGCTGTCACAATAGATACTCTGTACACTATCCCCGTTTTCTCAGAGATATTGCATCATTTATGAAGTATAACCCTATGGTGTTTGGCTTCAACCGGGACCCTTCGGGGGTCGGATGATCATTGCAGGCAGGGTTATTCCTCCCTTAGGGGGATTTAGGGTGAATTAACACCATGAACCTTAGGATTTGGCGACCTGCACCAGCTTCATTTATTTGCGCTTGCAGCCGCTATTATTGTGGGTCGCGGCACTGCTAACTTTCTGTGTCTGGTTTCGGACAGGCGCTTCTCTGGCTTGTCGGCCTCAAGACACCCTGCCACCTCCCGGGTGGTGCTGTTTTGTCTCATTGCGCTGCATGGCCTCCGAACAGCATTCAACGACTCTGGGGTTTAGCAGGGCCTTGATGGTCTCTTCCCCTTATCCCACATCACCGTTTTCGCGAGGTGGGTCTGGCTTTATGGGAGTTTAGGCGTTTGAGCCATAAGGCTCATGGTTGGGGGGGCAGACGTCTTTTAGTAGTTTACTTAGTACCCAGGCCGCGTAGTGTACTTGTTTGTAGATAGTGAGCGGCCTGCCATCGAGCACCGCTATATTAATTGTTGATAAAAAAAAAAAAAAAACTTCACAAAGTGAATTTGAGGACGATACTCCAGCAAATGCAAAACCCTTACAGAAGATATGGCTTGATCCTAAAGAAGAGCTACAATATGCTGTTTTTACAATGCCAATGATGTCAACTTCAACTCATGAAAATATCCTATCAGATGTCAACATGGATGCTGATGGTCCTACACCATATTCTGGTAAGAAATATTAATTCATATTCCTATTTGTTGACTAAGTTCAAATTGTTCAGGCCCTTTTGCATTGATTAACATCAATACTATTGTTGATATAATTGAGAATATTCAGTATGGTATTGCTGCTCATATAGAGGAAAAGCAACAGAAGGAATCTCAAACACCTGGAAATATCTGTGCCAACACTTTGCATGCCATTTCAGAGAAACCTGACAGTTGGACAACCGCAAAGAAGCTGGCATCATTTTGGACCAATTTTGAATATATTGTCAAACAAGCTCACACTTCAAATCTGGAGACCATGATAATGAAAAGTCATATAATGTATACGTCATGGAAAATCCACACTTGGCTGAAAAACATCATTCTGGAAGTAGATGGACACAAGATGGCACCATGGGTTGCAAATTTGAGCAAACATATCACTATGATCATCCACAATCCTGTCAATCAACCTTCAGAGCTAGTTCTCAAGGCCAAAGATTTTATGTCTAGTGCCGAGAGGTCTTTGTACTCTCCCATGTATCCCTATAGGACTCCAGTGGACTCCAGTGGAGTCTGGTAGAAATCTATTAGCAGGAACACCAGCCAAAAGTGTCTACTGGACTCCACTGGAGTCACCACCCAAAGTCTACTGGAGTTCACTGGAGTATACTGGAGTGGAGTGTCCATCTTCCACTGGACTCCTATAGGACTTCAGTGGAGTCCAGTGAACAATGCAGAGAGATGTTATAGTCATAGAAGACTGATGCCAAGATTGATGGCCAGTCACATGACTTGTTATTTGCCTATTCCTTCAGAGTCAGCTTCTGAAACTTTGATGTTATGGCCTCAAATAGAAACAATTAATAAATATATGATTGCTAGGCCCAGACTTGGCATTGATGAAAAGTAATAAAGCTATCAAGTTTGCTGATGACATCAATATCAGAGTCACATGTGACAAATTGGATTTTGCCAAAATGTGCTCTATCTACACAGGGACTAGAGGTGCTAACAATATGAGATATGCAGGTCACATGACTGTGAGAAAATTTCTTTTTAGGAGAAAATAATTGCAATAAATGATGATCCTGAATCCACTTGAGTGATGGTATTTGGCTCTATTAATGACAAGATATAAGCCAAATAATGCCAAAATTTGCAAAAGTAATCTACTTTTTCAGTATTTTGCATTTTTCTTGCCAAGCAGAGCAGCTAATGACATCAAATAACTTGATTCAGGGCCAGCCAAAGGTGCTCTACATGTTTTTTCCTAAAAAAAATTGATTGTTAAGCATCTTGTTACATATTCTATATGCTGGACTTGGGGAATGGTCCAACAGACTATTATCTATTCTGATGTGCCACGAACCTAAGGGTTCGGCAACCCATGCCAGCTCCACTCTTCCGCGCATGTGGCCACTATTGTAGCGGGTTGCGGCGCTGCTAACTTTCTGCGTCTGGTCTTGGGCAGGCGCTTCTCTGACTTGTCGGCCTCAAGACACCCTGCCACCTCCCGGGTGGTGCTTTTCTTATCTCATTCGCGCTGCGTGGCCTCCGAACAGCGATCAACAACTTTGGGGCATAGCGGAACCTCGATGGTTTCCTCCCCTTATCCCGATGCACCATTTTCACAGGTGGGTTGCCCTCTGGGGAGTTTCGGTGTTTGAGCCCAAAGGGTCTTGGTTGGGGGGGCGGTCGTCCTTTAGTGGTTAACTTAGTAACCAGGCTGTGTAGTGTATGTGTTTGTAGATAGCGAGCGGGCTGCCATTGAGCACCGCTATATATATTGTTGATCAAAAAAAAAAAAAAAAAAAAAAAAAAAAAAAAAAATATTCTGATGTGTAATAGGTACTGGTTAGTAGTCTATTTTGATACATATACTGGAGTCCAGTGGCGTCCAGTAAGACTCCAGTAAGACTCCAGTAAGACTCCAGTATTACACTCCAGTAGAGTCCAGTATACTTTCTTACTGGACTCCACTGGACTCCACTGAACTCCACTATACCTTCTTACTGGAGTCCACTGGAGTCCACTGAACTCCAGTATAATTCCACTGGACTCCACTGCATAATATGCCAACTCCACTGGAGTCCAGTGGAGTCATATAGCACTCTGTGGGGGACCACAAAGTACTGAGTGCCGACAATGTGCAGTACACAACTAAATTGCCTCAATTCCGCTTCAGCAAGAACAATTATAGCATTGAGATTAAAGATATTGTCTTTAAAACCGTTTGAGCTTGGTTGAAGGTTTCAAACAAGAACACCAGCTATGTTCAAGGAGAGCTTCTCGACATCATTGTGCATTTGGGTGGTATATCCATATTCTATTTTGATGAAGTTTGGTCAGCGTACATTAAAGCTCCAGTATTTCTTATGCCTGGAGCTAACTCAACACAATGCCAGAGTGCTCGATACATTGAAGATGCTGTACGAAAATTCAAAATCTCTTTTCAACAGCATCCTGCTTTTGTTAAATCAACACCTGAGCATCTTCTGCTCAAATAAATATCTTGATCAATATATCTCTGATTGGCACCAAGACTCACAACCTGAGGCGACATCAAGTCAAGAGCATCGAGAAGCAAAGATGGAACTCTTTCTACAGTATCTTATGCGTCTAGTTCCTATTGTCAGCAGCACTCCAGCACAAATTCACCAGGGCAAGGATAACTTGTTGAAGTCCATTATAACCAATCTAGATTTTTTCTCACCATTCCATCAGCTTGCACCTACTATAGTCCATGCAGAAATCGCTATATTTAGCAACAGTCACAAGCTGAAATCACATATCGGCCTATTCAACATGCTATGTTTCCATGGAGTCTTCTATGGAACTGAATGGTGCAAAACAAATCTCCATTGGTTTGATTGCTATGATGACTGGCTTCAATTCTATGATGATCTTCTCAAGGGAGGCTATATGAAAGATTCTGCTGAGAATTATCTTGTCAATAAAAAGGCTTATGGTCCCCATATGGGAAAAAGTTGCAAGACAGATGACATCAAAAGCTATTGGGAAATGAGTCTAGAGCATGAGGAGAAATATCTGGAAATAATTGGAAATAATGATCATTGGGCTCTCTACAAGTTTTTCCTGCTCTTTCCAGGTGTTGGCCAGCTTATATCTCTGCTCCTGGTTGGAGATACTATTGAGTGCAATCTGTTACCTCCTGTCGAGGCTGAGGTCTGGGGAGCAGTTATTGCTGAAGTCAACTTGGGAGGAAAGTGTGGTCTGGTTCAACTGGAGCTCATCAACAAAGACTCTGCAAAAAAAGCAGACATACAGCTTGCATTTGCAGAACTCTTCAACTACATCTCAGACAAAATGCCTTGGCAGACTCAGCAATTGATCCGATTTGATGCAGTTATGCTTGAGCATTCCTTATGTAAACGCAGACGTCATGACAAATTGTAGGTGGTAAAGTAGTATTTGTTTTTTTGTGAAATATATACAGAGTTTTTTTGTAGCGAGTTGAGCAATGAGAAAATAAGTGCAATGTCTAATTGTGAGGTCTAATGGCAAGCAGGTTGAACAGCAAGACAAGAGAAGATAAGAAAGAACAGGTTGGTTGAACAACGGTACGTAGATTAGAGAGTCAAAGGCAGAATTGTGTCTAATACTTTCATAATAGGGTCATCGTGCCAACACAGCTTGGGAGACGTACTTCTGAGATGGAGGATTTAGATTCCAAGACAAGAGTGAGCTTGAAAATATGACGCACTATTTTCTCGGTGTATCAAGAACAACGATCCAGCAAATATTGAATGCGACCGTTGTATCTGATGAACTGCGAGGAATGTACCCAGCAACTGTATACCCGATAAGGGCCAGAGAATCTGCAGGAATGCTCCCTAAGTAAGGAGGCAAGGTCAATGGGATAGAGTGAAGGCCATCAGGAAGTCGTATTTTTTGCTTTTGGCCATCCAGAATGGGTACTAAAGGAAGGGTAAGATTTTAATTGATATAGATATCAATTGAGACTTACTGTTCTCATCAACAGTGAAACCGCTCTTCCAACCTGACTGATTGTTGCCATTAGATGAAATATTAGCTGGGCTAGGCGCTGCCTTTGATAAAGTAAATCCTTTCCTCGGTGAAGAGGAAGGACCAGCAGTTGACTCTAAGATAAAGATAAGTTTCAAATTACATTGAGAGCAACTGATGACTTATGATTGTGCGAACGACCCCCAGGCTTTGTGGTGAATGACCAGTAGTTGTTGTATACTGCTGAACAAATTTGCTCAATGCCAAACGCTATGCAGAGCACAGCAACAAGGCGCTCATACTCCAAAGCATGCATCATGCCAGTGATAAACTTGACTAGACCTCTG